ATTCCATAAGTATGCTTGCACAATTTTGGAGTTGTGACCTTATGTTTTCTATGATTCCTTATTTATTTTAATAGCAGCAGAGTGCTTTACCTCCCCTGTCATTTTCAGTAGTTTCAAAGAAATAAACATCTTCCACAGATAGTAAATCTCAAAGCCCTTATCAACACAGCAAAATAAGTATTACCTCAGGCATACTAGCCTAGGATGGGATTATTGCTTAAAGGTGATAATATTGTTGAATAATCCTTCTATAAGTATTCTTTTATAAAGAGTCATTTTTAGAGGGGGGAAAAATAAAACATAAAAAAGCTGCAGGTATAAACATTTATCTTTGCTGTTGGAACTGATACCTTAAGCTTTAATGTCTGTATTTCCACATAATATCAAAATTGATTCATGCCTGTGGTTTGAAATAGTTTTTAATACAAAGAAATTAATTTAAATTTTTTCTCATTATTTAGAAGTAAAGAATGCAGCTAGATCAAGTTACCCAAAATGTTCATATCAGTTCAAGAATGCAACTACTAATGCATTGATTGATGCCAAGTCCACTGAAGGAATCCCGGAACCTGTTCCACTTGTTAATAACCGTAAAGGGAGCCTCCTCCTACCCAACAACCCCTCGCTGCTGCACCTTAACTTACTGAGTTCTGTTGAACAAGGAAAATCTACCTACTGTAGATTGCAAAGGGCACTCAGCTTGCCTGTAAAATACCGCTACCATTCCCAAAAGCCTGGGGTGAACCAAGATCTCCGTAGGTAGCCCAGTAGTTGGATGCATAAGGCAATACAGAATGGTTTGTGCATGGTTTTGCAGTCTGTTTTCAATGTGACTATGACATTACTAATGCTCTGTTAAGTGCTTACAGATGTGGGTTTCGCCAGATGTGGTGATTAATAAGTTAATCGAGATAGCTAGTCAACTAATGTCTCTGGGTGGTTTGTGCTTTACCTTTCAAAGGATTTAATTGCTTTCAAGCATTTACATGCTAGGCAGAATAAACTTACCAGGTGTCCCAGTTCATATGATGTTCAGTAACATCGATGTTATTTCAAATTTCAGCTCTTTTTGGTGTCTAAAAAAGCATCTGTGAACTAGTTCAGCTAGTGACCTGGGAGAGGTAGTCAAGGAGACAGTGTTGTTTTAAAAGTAGTTAGAAAATAACAAAGAAAAAAGTTATTGACTTGTCCACTGTTTTGGAAGACTTTCCTTTTGTTTTGCTTTCAAAATGAAATGAGGACAAAAGTCAAGTAATATGTTGTTACAGATGGTCAACTCCACATTAAGGCTGTTTAAATTACCTGCACATCTTAAACCAATTCATGGAACATTGTCTGGAGGTTATGTCATTGAAATAATGAACACGCTTTACTCCAGAATAAGCAAACCTGTTAAAACATCAGTGTAACTTTAAATTAAACTCCGGCATAAAATTGAATGCCTGATGTTTTTTTAGCATTGAGCCTTCCTGAACTGCAAAACTGTTATTAGACCAGTGAGCTCTGGGTTGTTACAGCAGTACAATAAGTGTTATACTGAGGGATGTGCAAACAAGCTCTTGAACATTATTAGAACTCGGAGGATGAATTGAGTTCCAAATCTATAAAACTCTGTGTCCAATTCTTGAACTTATTTCCAATTTTCATGAAAGCAGTAAAAAAAGTCTGCATAACATAATATGGCTGTAGTTAATACAAATCCTGTAGTATAAATACATAAAAAATCGGGACTCATTAACAAAAGCAAACATACAATATCAGAATTGAGTTGTCATATATCACAGCCCCCTTATTCAAATATGTTTCTCTTTCATAAGAACAAGCAAATTTAAGACTACCTTTTAAATTAATGCAGACACAGAAACCATGAAACTAAACTATTTAATAACCTTACTAAAAGTTTTGCTATATCCACTTATTTAAATAGGCAGGAAATTGATAGGAGTATCTGAAGGATAATAATTAAATATGTTTTATATCCTACTTACTACTAAGAAACCACTTGTGAGTTATCACTGTGACATTTTTGGGAGCCAAGCCATAGGTAATAGTGTCCATTGGATACCATTCACATATTCTAACTTCTTGTGTTCCCTTCCCCCTTTTGTATGGAGTTGTGTTGCTAAACTGCAGATGCCCTGTAAACTCTGTGCAGAGATTTCAATGAAAAATAAAACTTGATTTTCTGTCATATGATTAATATAGATCTACTTCCATTGCTACAATGAGAATAAATGGCTTTCTTGGTTAAGCAACAAATTGAGATCCCTCAGAAGGCTTTCCTAAGAGATATTAACTAGTGAGCCATGCTAACCTTGGACTTGCCAGGCAACTGGTGACAGTAACATAATTTGAATATGACAAGCACATACCCAAAATGGAAGCTTATTTATTGCAGATGCAGTTCCAATAACAAGTGCAGACTTCTAGAAATGTACTTCTAAAAGTTGTTCTTTTGGATGATTACTAGTAAGGCTTTGATTTTAGTTGGGTGGCAGGTTAGCATCACCTGGCAGCACGGGAGAACATAAACGTTGGCCCATATAGTACAGAAACATCCTTATGTGTTAACGTTCAGAATTTGAAAGGATCAGACAGAAGTCTTATTAGCTTGCTGAAGACTTGGAAAAAAATTATTTTTTAATATTGTTTTATCTTGTTCATAGAAAAATTTCTGCTTATAATATTATCTACAGTTGACTTGTGCTACTGTAAGATTTTTGCCTATGATCCTGGTGGCTGTGTATCTTCCTTGAACTGCTAAAATTGTATAACAACACACTTGTGGTGCCATTCTGCATCTCTGGACAAACATTCTGTAACCCCATGGTAACAGATTAATTTGAATGAAATTTAGAATTTTTACTCATAAGAGAGCAAAATAGATCATTTGTTGTTTTCTGGAAGGAACATTTTGCATGGTTCTTGTTTGTTTTATCTTTTAAGCGGTGGAACTGAATATTTGTATCCAATAAAGAACAAGAGAGCACAGTGCATATCTTGACAGCTATTGTTTGTGTGGAATAGCATGCAAATAACTTTATGGTAGAGAAGTTTAAAACAAGACTATGCCATTTTCAAGAGAATTTGAAGAGGGTGTTCTGAAAAGCACAAACACTCGCACTATTTTGCAATCAGAGCTGCAAAGATATTACCAAAAAACCAATTCTGTGCATGTTCACTTCATGATACACATAGCTAAAAACTGAAGTGATCTAACTTATTATGTACAAACTGTCACAGACAGAAAATTTCAATTTGTATATTTTTGAGAATTTTCTGTGGGCTTATTTATTTCTCTTATTTATTTCAGCCAAATTTGACTAACCATTAATAAGCATTTACACTATAGGGCTTTGATTTGGAAAAAGAAAGAAAGGTCAAATGAGAAGAAAATTCCTTTGTCTTTAGGGATGCTGCCCAAGAAGAGAAGAAACTTAGTGAATAAATCATTTTTAGACAGTTTTTGTTCTGATCTAAGTATTATCTTTTACACCACTCTTTGGCACACTTATTTTGGGATTAGCTTTGTTTGGTTGCTTTGGTTTGTTTTTTTTCTCTTTGCAGTGTTTTCTTTGGTTGTGACTCCTTTTTGCTAGGTGATGCTAGGTCATCTAAAAAGGGAGCAAAATTGTCTTTTCAGGGCCCAGCCCTTTGGTCCCAAGGCAAAATGAAGTTCCATTGCAGGCTTGAGCAACAGACAGAGGTGGTAGGCTTGAAAGCAGTCTGTAATAAAATAGTGTCAGAAGAGTTATAGCAAAAGGCTATTGCTTCATTTCTTCACAGATAAGTCTGATGCAGGTAATATATAACCCATTTTTGTTGTTTTTCTTATGTATCTTCTTACAAGTAGTATATTTTTCTCAACCTCTGCTTGTGCACTGCTAATGTGTACTAAGCTCTTTAAATATAGCAGCTACTACTACTAGTACTAATGTCTTTCCTTTTAGCTTTTAAGTAAAAGCTTCCTAGGCATCAGTTATATTATCTTCTAATTCATTTTTCAGTTAACAGTAGGATGGGAAAAAGTTTATTTTTTCTTCTTTGTATCAGAATAAATTAGCATTAGTATGAACTTGAGAAAGCAGGCATGAGTGTATTCCCTTTGATAGTACATGTAAAAGTTACATACAGATTATCAAGTGCAGTTACAATCTCAAAACAGTAATGGTGGTTAATCCTTATAGATGAGTTCTTAGGAAACTGCACTTGTTTAAGCAATACATATTGTGACATAAGTTATCCAAGAGTAGTTTATGACTGACAAAACTAGAAGTGATTTTCTATCTAGAAATCAATCAGTCCTTGAAAATGCACCTCATCCTCATTAAAAGATTGCATAATACATGCATTCTCTGTTATACAGGTATTGTCTCCCCACTTCCATTCAACCTCATTCTGTTCACTCCTGTTAAAACTCTGTTTTGGGATGAGAGTAGAGCAATGAGGTCTGACTTGTGCTGGAGATCTCCGCACAATGGCAGGCTGCATTCACATTCCCGACTAACTGAATCATTGAACATCAAGGCATTGAATATTTTACATCTCTTCATGAAGGCTCTGTCGTTTGGCATGTGAGGAGCGAGAACCAACTGGTGTCTAGTTCATTAGCAAAAGCAGGCTGGCAGCTGTTATGTTGATATTGAAAATAGTACTTTATCTGTCTGGGAATACAGCAGAGCACTAATTCTATTTTTCTGTAGCGCAGATTAACTGATAATAACTCTAAGAATAACCCGAATGTGGTCCCCCCGTCTTTGTTTTTGAAGTATGAAACCAATTTGAACACCTGTGTTCAAACCCCTGGTATTCTTCTCTGCTTCTCCTTCAAACCAATCTCTTTGACTAACATGTATTTGATTTTTATTAGTGTTGGCCAATGTTAGCAATGAAGTATCAGTGCGTGAATGGACATAGAGTGTGTGTTCTTTGCTACTTCACTTGTATTTCATATTGCACTCAGAGCAGTACTTAATCTCATGAGTTCCTTATATTTCCAGTTGAAGATGAGCAGCCGTCAACACTATCACCCAAAAAAAAGCAGCGAAATGGAGGCATGCGAAATTCACCCAACTCCTCACCCAAACTGATGAGGTAAGACTGTAAGAAACTCATATCTTCATCTTCTTTCTTTCTTCCTTCCTCCTCTCCTCCCCCCACATCAAAAATAAGGGGAAGGGGTGAAAAAAAAAGATTGTTAGATGGTTTCTGAAAGGCTGAAGTATTTATTCTGTCAGCTTGTCAGCAGTTAATGATAGAGCTGGAAAAAAATTCTGTCATGAAAAACAGTTTGAAAAGCTGTTTGAAAAATACATAGGCTTTAAAGTCTTAGCTGTCACCCTGTCCTGTCCATGTGTAGTTCTTAAACAGCAGTGGCACTAATGATAGCACTAACCAATCAGGGGAACTCATGTGGTTAGTTTGCCTCAGGCAATTCTCTTTTTGTTGGATTCCCTCTGAGTACTGTTTTCTGTACTTAAGGCCATATGTGAGATGTATCATCACAATCAAAAATGAACCTGAATATTACCTTCCTTTTATCCTGTCGATTGAAATCAAATTTCTGTTAATTGATTTAGACTGATGAAAAAGTCTAATAATATATGTACTTGCCAAAGCAAAGTTCAAAACTAACACAGTTTTAGTCAAGCTAAAAGCACATTAATTATGAAATACAGGGATTTTTAAGAGGGTAGTATATACTCTAAAAGTGAATGATGAAAACAGCATCTTCTTAGTGATATTTTCCCCTGTTGCTATGTATACATTATTTTACAATAGTACTCCATTGTATAACTATGTGGTTTCCTTTAATAGAACAAATTACCTCTAAGAGATTTGTTAAAACTAGAACTGCAACAAGAAATTATAATCTATTAAAATATTATGTGATTTGCATTCTATCTCACTGTGTCTTGCCTTTTACCTACTTAGCTCAGTCAAAATTGGATCCCATAGTAGACACAGTTTCCAACGAGGCTGTTCCTGCTCTGATTTTGCATATCCTATGTACCCAGGCTAGACCTTCAGTCCATAATTGTATCCATAAATACCATAGCAGATATTTTCCACTCTATGTGTATATATATATATATGTATACATACACAGAAAAAATGTAAACTTATTTGCATTTATAAACAAATTAGTGCAATTTGAGATTTATGTGTGTATAACTGTGCCTGCTCACAGAGGTTACAGGAAAAAAAATTGATGCAAATTTATAGTTCTTTCCATAAATAAAATCTACTATTTTTATTATTGACAATGATTTTGTTCCTGTAATGATTCTGGATGCAGGTAGATGATATTTCTACTTATATTTCAGTCAGTAGACTGGAATTTTATTTGGGCAGTTACAGAAGCATCCATATTTGTTTATTGTTTCTGTAATATAGGGCATATTCAAGGACATAACTTCCACAAATCGTTTTCATCTCTGTTTAGACTACAGAACCAAAAGTGAGATTGATTCACAGAGAGAAAATGCACCCAGCTGTGGCTTTTTTTTCCCCTATTGACCATCTATTCCTGTAGAATGTGTCATTAAAAGTTCTCTGCCTTCCTGTTAGCTCAGCCTTGCCCATATGACACTGATTTACATGCTTGTTTACAGTTTATGAGGAAGAATAAAATGAGCATACTGGCAAACTTCTCATTTTTATAGTGCCAGTTGTCATGCTAGCATAGTTTTCAATTTACTTACCTTTGGACAGTCCTCTTATCTAGTGCTAATTGCTTTAACTGCTTAAAACTTAAACATGGAGATTCCCCCCTTCACCTTCTCCTAGATTCTAATTTTGGGGAAGTAGAAGTAAAAAGAAAGAGAAGGGGGGGAGAGAGAGAGAGAAAGAGCTGAACACACTGTCCCTGTTTGCTATGTAAAGTATGCCTCATTTCTTTGATCTTGAGTAATAATAATTCTGGGGAGTTATACTGTTTTCATATGCTTCAAAGCTGTGTCAAAGTTTTGCTGCTTAAGGGTACTTCTTTATTCTATTGGCTCTTGGGTACTGAGATGACAGGTCCTCTGTACTAGGTGCAGGCTTTTTCAAGTCATAGCCTTCAGCAAAACATCAAATTACCAAATACAGGGTAACATACTTCTACACAAATGCCTTTCCTGTAGATATATTATACCATATATATTAAATACTTTAGTGTTACACGGTACATTTTATGTGCAATAGAAAGTGATGGTTTGAGGTAGCCTTAGGGGTACTTTTTTCCACAAGCAGAAAAAGCTAGTGTATACCGTATCAAGTATGGTTTTTACAGGACTTTCTGCCCGAAGGCCTTTGTAAATAAGTAATGATCAACAGATTGGCTGTGGGTTTTTGAAAAGCATGCCTGTGTCAGTTTGCATGATGGGGGAAGATTTTCAAAGTACAGCCTGCTTTCATTGCCTGCTGAAGAGGGACTGAGGGAGAGTAGTCGTCCTGAGCCTGAGCTGTCTGCTCAGTAGCACATCAGAATTGCTAAACACAGGTTGAGCAGTGAGCGGAGGACTTGCCAGGCTTCCAAATCCAGACATTGTTTTCTTCCTCTTCTCTGTTGCTGCTAAATTTATTCTCCAGCCCAGTGTTCTCACCCTCAGCTTCTCCCCAGACCCAACCGTCTCTTCATTTTACTCTTTATCTACACTGACTTAACTTTGGTCCATGGTGCTAGAAAAGACAAAGTGGATTGAATCAGAAGAGAGCTCTGTTAAGATTTGTTTGTAATGGTCAAACTCTTTTCTCCTCTCTGGAACAAAGGTGGACTGTATAATCTGCTATTTCGTATCCTTGTAAATTACAGAAAGTGACAGGCACTTGCCTTCCTGCCCAGAAATCTTTAGTGCATGTCAGCTAGAAGTACCCAAGAGGTAAATCAGCTAAAGCACTGTCATGTCTGTAGCTGATATTTATCTTTAGGTTTTTTTTGTAAATTTGCTTTAAAAACTCCTTTTTCAAGTTCGCTTTGCCCCTGTCCCGCCTGCCCAGAAATAGCTGGCTACTTTGCAAATTTTTTCTGAGCTGTGGTTTTAGATCCAGAGGATCTAGAAGGAACCTGGAAGACAAGAAGTCTGGAGTATGAAAACAACAAATATGTAAAAAATTCTTTAATCAATTGAAATACAAACTGTGAATTTTGAATCATTTTGAGAAGTTCTACAGTATGTTGAAAATGCTGCATAGGTTTTAGATTCCCACAGTGGGAAAGGTATTATGCTATGAGACAAAAGTTTGACTTTTGCTGGATTAGAACAGAGGATGGAAATGGTATCACAGGAATTCCTTGGGACCTCATGACAAGTGGTCTGACCTGATCAAAGAGTGGGAATTTCTGAGATTTACTAACATACAAGTAGAAATCTGCATTACCTAATATGATCCAGATAGATAGATTGGAGACGTCTTTGTAATGAAACCTTTTTGATGACTCAAAATTGCAATAAATTACTAAATGATCTAAATAGACAATTGACATACAAATGCTCTTTGTGTGCATCACAGATGGTCTAGACTCACATTTAGGAAGTCACTGTTCTAACTGAATGCTGCATCACATTAAATGGCATGAGCAGAATCACACTGGTGCAATACTAGAAGAGTCTAATCAATCAGAAACAAATCTTTCCAATTCCAGCAATACCCACAAACACAAATGAACCAGAAAAATACTCAGCATTGTCATGACTGTTTTTACCTGTTTTACATCAGCAGAAGTCTGTCCCATTAAATGCACAAGAACATGGATACTTTTTTTAAAATAACTGGAATTCCAACAGGAAAAAATATACTTCTACAGTTAAGATGTGAACACAAGGACATCCTATTACAGCAAAAAGTAAAATTTAAATAGGAAATGGAAGGAAAGGGAGGGAAGGCTGTGACTGGGAGAGTAATCACATATCAGGTATCCTTCATGAAGTGGAGAAGAAAAGTAGAACCGATCGATGCCTCTGGTATCATGCAGCAATATCAGTCCTTGTTCATCATCTCAGTTGCAGGTTCTGATGCGTGTTATTGATGAGCAGCCATGTTAACTATGAGGAGGCTATGTTTCCTGAATATCAAATAGAAAAGCTAGTTTTAAAAAAATGTGTCATTTTGGATTCAGAATGACCAGTAAACATGTGAAAAGCCCTGGATATGAATCAAAAAAGCCACTTAAATGATTGTTTCTGAGCCTCAAGTCTATACTTATTGCTTTGGTAGCTGCTACTGCATGAGTGGAATACACTGACTTGAAGGAAATGTCAGCCCAGCCGAGTCAAACTACCTCTTAATGCAAGAACAAATAGCATATGACAGGGCCCAAGGGGCCTGAAGAGCAAACAAATAGTTTGTCCCTGTCCACTCTGGATGTAGTGGTGTAGTTGACATAGGCCTCTAGACAAGTAGCATACTCAGCAAAGGGTCATTATCATTAGTGTCCCTGATCACATAAGAATCAGAGGCATCAGAGGACACTGGGTTTTCAGTGTTGCCAAGGAGAATTTCATAAGCCTGAGGATTTTTTTTGATTGAGAATCTAAAATAATTCCCAACCAAACAATAAAACTTGCTCAGAAATTGTCAAGACCCAGCTAAATGACACAGAGAAAAAGTGAGCTCTTTGGCATATGTTTCCAGAAGCATAATGAGATTATTTATCTGAAGTTGAGGAGGAAACCTCCTGTCTTTTTTCCTGAGTTGTATATATTTTAAGTATATGAACAATGGCTGTGCACATTTATCTCCTCATCCACCCACTAAGCCACATACACACTTAAATATATACATACACATTTCTGCTAGTGGCACTCAGCATGAATATGCATTGCCTCTGCCATTGTAGCACAGCCTTTTCATGAAATGAACCTGTGAGCTTTCTCATAGAAACAAAAAAAAAAAAAAAAATAGTGATGGCAGATCTAGGGAAGCATTTCTTAAGCCAAAACTGGTAAAATAAGTTGACTCTGATAATTTTCCATGACTCCCTTAAACCATGAAGGTAAGGTTTAAAAAGGTGAAAGCCCACTGATTAATCATAATAATGGTATTTATTTCTGTCCCTTAGCCTTGGAAGTTTCCATTTTGTACTCTCAAGTTTATATCCAGGCTTTATG